GCCTTGGCATTGTTTACATTGCGTCCTCTTTTGTTTTGCTGGCCTGCGGAATCACCGCTCCACCAAATTCATACCTACTACTTAGGCGGTATCCTTGTTTGCACCCTGGTACCTTGTCGGTGCTTGTTGTTTTGGTCAAGCATATCCAAATGTAGCTGTTGCGCGCTCAATAATCCCCCATCTGCTATCCCCCGCCACTTCTTGTATCATCATCATCATGTCAGGATCACAGCGTCCTGCCCATTCTTCCACGAGAACCTCCATGCGCCCACCGCCGAGACCGCATGTGGCACAACATCCTTCAATAACTGGCCGTGCTCCTTCCCCGGCAGAATCGCTATCCTCGGGCAGTGCTTCTAATGCAGGCACCAAAAGAAAAGAGAGAGATTTTGACCAAGATCATGGTGAAGAGACGAATATTCACGTCGTCGTGCGATGTCGGGGTCGGAGCGCCAGAGAAGTTCGGGAAAACAGCGGGGTGGTAGTATCAACAAGCGGAGTCAGAGGCAAGACTGTTGAACTCTCGATGGGACCCAATGCAATCAGCAACAAAACCTACTATTTCGACAAGGTCTTCTCCCCAGCAGCAGACCAAGCTATCATTTTCGACGATGTCGTGGCGCCCATATTGAATGAAATGCTGACAGGCTACAATTGCACAATATTCGCCTATGGCCAGACGGGAACGGGGAAAACATACACCATGTCGGGCGATATGACAGACACCCTTGGACTTTTATCTGATGCGGCCGGCATTATCCCTCGAGTGCTTTACTCGCTGTTCCAGAAATTGGAAGCGGATGAGGTGGAGTGTTCAGTGAAATGCTCATTCATCGAGCTGTACAACGAGGAGTTGAGAGACTTACTGTCACCCGATGATTCTGTCAAGCTTAAAATCTTCGACGACGCGAGCAGGAAGAGCCATGCCGCCACAGTGGTTCAGGGCATGGAAGAGTCGCACATTAAGAATGCAGCGGCCGGGATCAAACTTCTGCGAGAAGGCAGCCATAGGCGTCAAGTTGCGGCCACCAAATGCAACGACCTCAGCTCTCGAAGTCATACGGTCTTCACCATTACAACATATGTCAAGAAACCCAACAACACGGGCGAAGACTACATCTGCTCTGGGAAGTTTAACCTGGTTGATCTGGCTGGGAGTGAGAATATCCAAAGGAGTGGCGCAGAGAACAAAAGAGCCGCGGAAGCGGGACTGATTAACAAGAGCTTGCTGACACTTGGAAGAGTTATCAACGCTCTTGTGGACAAAAGCTCACACATCCCTTATCGAGAATCGAAACTAACAAGGCTGCTACAAGACTCGCTGGGTGGAAGAACAAAGACATGTATCATTGCCACGGTTTCACCAGCGAAGAGCAATCTCGAGGAGACCATTTCGACTCTGGATTATGCTTTCCGTGCGAAGAATATTCGAAACAAACCGCAGGTCAATTCGATGATTTCCAAGAAAACACTGCTGAAAGAGTTCACCGCCGAAATCGAAAAACTCAAGAGTGAACTGATTGCCACAAGACAACGCAATGGCGTCTACCTCACCAATGAGCAGTACGAAGAGATTACGGTCGAGAGTGAGTCCAGGAGAATACTGAGCGAGGAACAAAAGGCTCGCATCGAGACGATGGAGGTCAGTCTACGCAACAAAGTTCAGGAGCTCTTTAGCTTGACCCACAACTTCACGATGCTGAAGCGAGAGAACGACGGGACTCGCGCAACCTTGGAAAGCACAAAAGATGTGCTCGAAAATACTGAAGCTGTTCTCGCGGACACAAAGAGGCTGCTCGCCGAAGAGACTGCTCTTCGCGAAGCACATGAAGTGACAGAGGAGAAATTATTCGGTATGGGAACCGAGCTAGTTTCGACCGTTGGCGTGTCCCTCAAGGATATTGACGGCCTCCAAGCGAAGTTGAGACGGCGCTCTGCCCTCCACACTCAAAATCGCGAGTCGTTCAATTCTTCTCTAGGCCGGGTCATGGATGTCTGTGGATTGGTTGACGAGCGCATCGCAAAATTCCAAGCAGCACACGCGGAAGCGATCGCAGCAAGCTCTCTCCGTATCGAGTCATTTATAGCGGACGAGATAGCCCGCATGGAGTCTTCTGCACGACTGTCTCAAGAGAGGTCCTCGGCCCTAGCTGAGGACTGCGCTGGTGTCGAAAGACAGTCTGCGCAAGCCAGGGACTCTATGAACAATGTTCTCGAGGAGATCAACGACCTGCGTGAGAATGTCAAGGACCGCCTCAGCGAGGGCCTCCAAGGTCTGTCCCAGGCAGCCGCAAAAATATCTGCAGAGGTGATCGGGGAGCTGGAACAGTTTCACACCCAGTTGCATTCGTCTTATAGCGGGCTCGGGAAAGACTTCAAAGCGATGTTCGATGACCTTACCAAGCAATTGGCGGTGCAGCGAGAGGAAATCGAAGCCTTGTCGTCGGCTCTCCAAGGAGCGAATGGCGCAAACATGGAAGCATCAATCTCAGTTTCTAACCAGCTCGAAGCCATCAGGGACGAAGAGAGGAGGGCGGCTGCGGAGGAGAAGGAGAATCTCAAAGAGCAGATCCTGAAACTGATTGAGATGTCACATCAACAACAGGAACAGAGACTGTCCAGCCGATTGAATAACGTTCAGTCACACCTCGTCGAGGCGACGGAGAAATTTGAAAATGCCAATAAGTCCTATCGGGATGGTATGAACAAGTGGACAGCTCAAGACAGCGAATTGAGGGCGCTCCTGGTTAAATCTAAGGACGAATTGAAGACCAAGATGAAGGGAGACTGGACGGTAAGTTCGGTGCAACTTGGTCTGGATGGAGGCTAACAGCTTGTAGGCAGTTAGTGCACGAAACCTGGCCATCCAAAAATCCACCAAGTCAGTCCACGAGGAAACGGTCAAGATTGTCGACGCTCAGCTGACACAAATGTCAACTCAAATGGAAGCTCTGGACGACTTTGTGACAAGAGCACGATTACAGAACAACGGTCATCATGCCGAACGTTCGGAGACGTTGAGCAAAGCTGTATCTCGTGCTCAAGACGGTCTCAGCAGTCTTGAGAAGGAGTCGCAGCTGCGGCGCGGAGTATTCGAAGACTTTGCAGGAGAACAGAAGACACACCGCGCAGATGTCGACAAGCTTGTCGTATCATTGGAGGAAGAAACACGGTATCCACTGCGAGAAATGAAGGCAGACCTCTCAGAAGCAAGTTTGAGCGAGTACACTCCAACTGGCGAAACACCACAAAAAAGGGAGTGGAATTACCCGACCCAGCTGCCACGAACCGAAAACCACGAGTCCATCATTGCCAGAATGAGGGGTTTACCAGACCCTGGTCTTGTCACCAAGACGCCTTCATCGGCAAAGACACCTGCTCGTTCGCCCAGGAAACAAGCATCACCACGCAAAGGACCGGCGTCGCCTTCAAAACCGCCGAGTCCGAGCAAGACCAAGATCTTCACCGATGTTGAAATACCCTCGGCCCGGCCATCGACGATATCGCTATCGCAAACACAAGGCACCGGAAGTGGGATACCTCTCAGTGAAGCGAAGTCAGGCTTGAAGGAAGTCGACATCAATGTCATTAACAGTAGCAGAGGGCCGATATCATCAGCAACATCTACGACATTGTCCAGCAAGGACGAGAAACCTGTGCTCCTGGACTTTAGTAAGAGTGTTGGGAGTGGAAGTCAACAGCCGCCCCTCAAGAGGCACGCGACGACTAATGCGATTGTGGAGAGCAGATTACCTACTGTGAAGTCAGGTAGGGTGACGAGGAGTACGATGGCTGGGTTAGCAGGGATTGGGATTGGTGGAGTGGAAAATTTCAGTCAGAGCATCGGGCCATTGGGAGGAGGCAGGAGGCTGAGAAGCAGTCCGCCTGAATGATCGCCTCAGAGACAGGGGGTGCGTTGTTTTGTCTTCGTGTCAATGAATGGGTCTGATAAGTGATGGTGGTGGTGTCCTGGAGTTTGGCGGACATTCTGCTGGATCCTGACGAATCGAATCAAATCGCGTTCAAGTCGAGTTTGTTAGAGATACCCGCTTTTGTTGGTTATTTTGTTTGTGTTTCGAGGAGTCGAATCAGAGAACGAGTGGGTGGGACAGGAGGGTCTCGATCGATCGTTGGACACCAGGCAACAAAGGGAAGAAGGAAGGGCCGGATGGGTTGGAATGGGTTGGATTGGAATTCGTAGAATGAAAGTCCAGATGAACCAGGGCCGGAACCAGAACTGGAACCGGAAGGAGTCAGTATTCCTACTATTAATAAGATTATTTTGGATCCTCCTACACGGCACGTACTTGTACTATAGACAAGGACAAAGATCTTTAAGTAGGAACCGAGTCCTCACTCGTATGATATTGTCGATCGTGCACAACACTACTACTCTTGGCTCCAGCGGCTGCTGCTTGTTGCCCGATTATGAAGACCGAAAGAAACTGGGACGATATATATGTATGTAAATATAAGACGAGTCTTCGGTACCTGGGGAGTTAGTACTGTCTCTCCGCTCGACCATCCTCCTCCCTTTCTTCCTGCCTTTCTTTAGTACTCAGTCCCCCCTCATTCCCTCGTCCTCTCTGTTCCCATTAGACAGCCAGTCTCGTCATTAGATTCTCTCCTTCATCGAAATCCCGAAGGCCGGGGTTGTATTATCCTATCCTACCTATAGCTATCCAAGCACACGGAGTGGCTAGGTCGGTAGATAGATAGGTGTATACTAACAAAGTAGGTAGGTAGATACTAGGAAGGTAGGTAACCAAAAGACGCCGGCGCGCCTGCAGCAGCATGATTCGTCGTGATTTGTTTGAGTCCGCCTGTGTGCAATTGAACGCCGCCGTCGTAAGTGCCTTTCCCTATAACCGACTGGACCGTATTTATGGCGAGGTTGGTCTCGGATTGAAGCTCGCGCTTCAACGAGAATTTCTCAGTGTGACAACGAGGTCGCTATGTTCTCTTTCTTTACCGTCAGCCCCAGACCCATCATGTCGTTCTCATTCCTCCCCGCCCAGCGCAGCAGTACCCACAGGCGCACTGATCCCACCCGCCTCGATGACCATCCTAATATCATCCAGGCGTCGCTGAAACCGATCAATCATCTCCTCCAGGCTCTCCCTTTCCCTCTCCCTTTCTCTGTCGGCGTCTCCCATCGTCTTCTCTTTCTCCTTGCCCGCCGCAAGGTCGCCGGGAGTGTTTCCTCTCCCCTCGATCCTCAACATCAGCCCTTCCCCCTCCTCGCTCGGTCCATCTCCAATGGTCGGCGCGGTCGAAATGCTGGTCCGCAAGACTTGCCATTCTGCGCTGAGACTGTGGGCGGATGTCACCTCGTAGTTATAGCCTGGGGGGGCACCGCCTGAAGAAGCAGCACCGGCAGGGGTGTTATCGTCTTGGTTTTGGGTGCGAGGCTGCGGATGCACGTCGAGGATTATGTAGTGCTCGCGCATATCGGCCGTGGAAAGAGGAAGGCGGGGTGCATTGATACTGTCATCCTGACGATGAAGGCTCTGGTCCTGAGAACTGCGAGGTGCTTGTGTGTGCGTATGTGAAAGTGGCCGCCCCTGTCTTCCTGCTGTAGCACCAGTCTGATCCCCTCGCTGGGTGGGATCTAACGCCTCTAGACTCCTCAGCGCGGCCTCGGTAATGATGTCCGCATCGTCGTCTGCAAAGATGTAGTGGACCGTGGGATGATAGTGCTCGTTCGTGACACTGTCTTCGATCAAGGTGAAGAAGGGCTGGAAGGACGGGATCGGCAGCTCTCCTGGATGGGCAGACACAAGACCGTGGCTGTAGTTCTCCGACTCCGCAACTGCGTGCTCCGAGTACTCTGGGTTGTTGAGGGTGAGGCTTGGTCTGCGTCTGAGTTTAGCCTGCTGATGAGATGCGACGATAGGGTCGTCTTCAAAGTGCGGAGAGGGCAGGAGGCTCCGTGTCGCCGTGGACTGCTGTTGCGGTTGAGACAGAGGAGGACCGCCGCTGCTGCCAACACCACCACCACCGCTTGTGGTTCGCCGCGATGAAGGTTTCGACAGCGATGACGAGTGCGTGGGGACTTGACGGGGCTGCTGGGACATGTCACACGAAATAGAAATACCAGAAAGTCGGTTGCGAGCCTACATCGTGACAGATGGCTGCGGCTTTGATGGAAAGAAGATGTTGCTGGGCAAACGCGAGCGGTTGTTCCCATGCAAGGCAAACAATTAATGTGGAGAACGTGGGGGGCAGGCAAGGCGGGCGAGGCAGGCAAGGCTATATTCCCAGTACATGGTTATCGTACAAGGCTACGAGGCTACGGTCCCGCGGGTGTGACGCTGTTCACAGTAACAAGTAGATACTGGGTACTTTGTAGGCGCTGGCGCTTTGCTCTGTTTTAGATCTCCATATCCTTGCCCTCGACCCAGGCTTTACACTGCCAATACAGAAGGTCATGCTTGTCTCCGCAGTCTTTACTTCCGCCTTCCACACCATTCTCGCGCCTATGGCCCGGCATGTCGCGGAGCACCGCGACACCCATGGTCGCTTCCTGGAGGTAGGCCAGGTACCGGTAACCGCTCGGATAGTCCTTCAAGCGCTCCTCGTCGAGAATGGGCACTTTTGCCGGATTGACGGGAATCAATTTGTCCTAGGTTGCAAGCCATTTCAGTTCTCCCGTCTGCACATATGCGTATGGACGATCCAACCTCCCGTTTTGGTCCGCCCTTACCTTTTCATACCAATGCCTTACAAAGCGCGCCCGCCACTCGCCGGTCTCGGGCATCTTGACCCAGAAAAAGCAGAACCGGCAATCGCTCTCAGCGTCGACTTCGCACCCGTGGACCGCGAATCGCTGCGTGATGGTCGCCTTCATCTTGGTCACCGCCCGCGTCGCCTCGCGGTTGATGTCGGTCGTGATCCCGTGGCAGCGGTGCATGATGAAGGCCCCTTTGTCCATGCCCGCCTGCGACGCCTCGATGAAGTCCAGATGGTGCGTTCTCCCCGTCCAGGTGGTGTAGATGTAAGCGTCGGGGTGAAAGATGGATTTGAGATTCTCCCATTCGCAGGCATCTCTGATCCCGGCATCATCGTTATCAGCAGCGGCCAGACGCCGAACAAAAGACCATGCACGTTAAGTTTTCGCGCGCCTCCAAAAGGGGGGGGGGAGCTGACCGATAAAGAGGCCAGCCTTCCGCAAGTTCGCGCAATTTGTACCTCTCAAGCACGAGGCTGTCGGGTCCATTGTTGCGGATTGCATGTTCTGGGCGTGAGCCCGCCGGTAGGGAGTGAAGATCAACCATTGCCAGTACACAAGATCCCCGGGTAAATGACGAGTCTGCTATAAACAACTCAAGAGCGCTGGTTTGGGGAAGGGGAAAATACAATCAAGTCGGAAAAACCAAAAGTCTCCCCACAAACTCTGGTCATCGGACCGGGACTGTTCCCGAAAGCAAGGCAGTTTTCGGCACATCTGCGTGATATACCAACACATACGAGTACAGGTGCAATGCGCGACGGTCTAGAGTGACGTGAGGATTCATGTGTTGATGTCGGTCATTCTGATTCCAATTTCATTGTCTCTGTCCCATGGCCTCTGGGAGACATCTAGACGCGGCCTATATTGACACAAAATTTGATAGTAATGCAACGACAGCCATGGCAGCCTTGAAAACAAGCACCCTTTTCAATTCCTTTCCATGACCCTGATTGCGCGATTTGTTTCGGGACACAACCACGGCCTCTCCGAGTTTGCAACGAATCCTTTATGGCCAACCAGTGCAATCATCGATCCATTCGGTTGTCGAACAGTAGATCATTGGGATATCCGCCCTCTTTGCTTTCTCCTCCGACCTTTTCTCCACCTTGGGCTGCGCAGCGGGCTCCAGGCTCCGCTTCTTGACGGGAGCAGCAGGAGCAGCACCTTCGGATCTCTTGACAACGGGTTCAGGAGCAGGCCATCCAGTGCAGTCATCAATCCACTCGGTGGTAGAACAGTAGATAATAGGAGTTCGTTTCTCCACATCCTTGGTGTCTCTCTTCTTCAGGTCGTTCTTGACAGCATTGGGCGCCGGAGCTCCACCGTCTGGGTTGGTCAAAGCCCCCCCAAAGCCCATGAGCGTGTTCCAGGTCTCCGCGGTGGACCGGTCGCGAGTTCCCAAAGCTCGGATCTTGGTCTGTGACTCCCGGCAAAGAGCCTTTGCAGCTTCGTTTGCTCCACAGACGGTGGAAAGCTGGTCGCAGATTCGGTTGGTAATGATGTCTTGCAGCGCCATTAGTTACAGGCCAGAACCCATGCAGACGGCGGACTTACTGGGGTTCGACGCCTCTTGCTGACCACGAGCGCACAATGGGTCTGTGGGCAAGAAAGTAAAGTCCACTGAAGATCGTCCACCAAGTCCACCCTCAAACTTCATAGTCGGAAGACAGAGGCCGAAGTCGGGATCCTCTTTCATGAGGGATTCCTTGCCGTAAGACATGACGGCAGCCGAGGCTGAACCAACAGCTACAATCAGGGCGACGGCGGTAGACTTGACAAACATTTTGATCTCGTGAGATGCCGGAAACAAGTAAAGAACGTGAGATATGTTTTCTTGAAAAGGAAGGACTGTAGAAAAGAGCCGACCAGCGGTAAAGAGCGAGAAAATGGAAACAGAACGACGACTAGGGAAAGAATGTTTGGAATAATGAGAAGGAGATGGACTTGGCAATGGGCAGGTCTTGGTAGTTTCTTATAACCAATTGACCAGATCGCGCGGATGGCACAGGTGCCGGTTGCATGTTTCGAACATGAGGCGGAGCGTGTCGTGGGTTGCGTTTCACGTGCGGCCAGGGGCTTCCCCCAACCACTTTTGGCGTCCGCCTACACAGCACCTCAAACGAATCCGTCTTTGAAATGGAATTATGGTTGTTTGGAGAAAGACCTGCAGCTGGCGATGGTAAGGACTTGGTCAACAAGGAGCGTAGATCGCCTTTGTCTTTGAGACGGAACAAAATTTCAATGACCAGCAGCCCACCACGCGTTGAGAAAAGGTCCTAGAAATGGGGTGTTCGGCATGCGGCACGCGGCTTGTTCATGACAACCGAGATGGTTGGATTCCATGCCACTCAATAACTCTATAGCGACATCAGTTGTGGCAGACCATACTGACTTATCTCAGTATGCCCGAGTGCGGTTGTTTGGAGGCCATCAATCTGACCAGGACCTTGTGGACTTGTCGGAAAGAGGCACAGCGCAACGAGTTCGAGTGTAGAGTAAGCAACAGAGTGAGACTGGAATGTACAGTTTCCATACGACCCTTGGCTGTAATTACCTTCGGATCGCAGCGATCAAGCATCTGAAGCACGATGGTGAAGCGGACAGTGTCGCAGGAAGGAGGAGCTGAAAAGAGGGAGAAGCTCCATAACGGGCATGGGACCTCACGCACGTGACCTACGGGCACGTGCGGAACTGGTTGGGTTATTATCACGTGATCATCACGTGCAACCTTCGTCGGGTGCCCTGTTCTTGAAATGAGCGGTCTCTCATGTTCGTCAAGCGTTATCATTTCCTTCTTCATAAACTCTGGGTCGTCGTCTCTGCCGTCGTCGGTCAAGGGGCAGGCACACCGCCGTCGCTACCCGCATCCAACTCATCCTCGATGTCTCCTCCTTGCTCCTCTTCTCTCACCTCCTGCTCGTCTCTTTGCCATCGTGCCTCGTCTTCCTCATTCACCCTCACCCTTCGGTCCATTTCTTCCATGATATCTTGTCCGGGTAACAAGATAGCACGGTCAATTGCCATTGGCAATATCCTGTGGCGACCCCTCAGCATGACTGTCATGAGGATCAGCTTGGACAAGGATTGCCATGTGCCACAGAAACTGTAGTTTTCGTAGGGCACGCCCAGTGAGAGTCCGACGGTGCCATAGGCAGATACCGTTTCGAAGATGATGTCAAAGAGGCCGGGTCTAAAGGCTGGATGCGGGGAAGGTAGCGACTCGGGTTCTGGTGGCGTGGTGGAGGCGGGAGGTGAGGGAGCCAACTTATCACGCTCGATGATTGAAACAAGCCAGACGCAAGCTAGAATCCACCAGATATCATAGACCAGCTGCCGTCGAAGATGCTGGCCCAGCGCAGATTTGACTGTTTGCGGCTTGTCGACATTCTGGAGAGTAGCCTGCGTTTTCGAGCTGTCGTCTTGACCGAGAGATCGCTCCTCATAAATATTGGTCTGGCGCACGGACAGGAGGATCGGAAAGACAGAAATGTACATGATAATCACGTACAAGAATTGAAGAGCTGGAGCAACGTCGGAGATGAGGATGATGTAGAAGCCTGAAGAGCGCAACCCCACTGATTGATACAGTCCCTGAAACACGCGGAGCCCACTGGGGATCAGCGGGTCGACAGGTGTATAGTTGATGTTGAGGACGATGAACATAACCCAAGCTATGAGGTTAATGGCAACCTGGATACACAGTAAGCCATATGTGTTCCTGGCCGGAAAAAGGAAAAGGTAACAGCGGCGCGGGTGGTGCAGAAGGAACTGGAGTGAGTGGTGTGTTTCCGAATTTCGCGGGACGATTTTGGAAAGGAGCCAGATGGTCAGACGGAGGAGGATTGGATAGAAAGTGTTCCCCGTAAAGATGACCATGCCGGTAAAGATCAGGATAATATAGTTGTTCCCCAGCGGAATCATGTTCGCGTTCAAGAGACTCAGACCGCTGTTGGTGTAGGCCGAGACGCTGACAAACACAGACCACCATGCCGGGCTCAAATTGCCTGGTTGAGCCTCCCTGATCACATTTCCAGCGTTGGTATTGCAGACATAGGGCGTCATCACCACTATGATGAAAGACAGCCAAAAGACGGCATAGGCCGGCAACAGCCAAGTCAGAAGTCTCAGAGCGCGGTACTCAACTCCGCCTAGTTCCCGTTCTTGCTCGCTGGTCAAGGCACGAAATCGTCCCCTATGGTCCAACTCGGGTTCAAAGGAGAGGTATGAATGATCTGGCTTTTTTTGGGTTCCAAACCCCTCATATGTCCACCTTACCAGACGACCGGCGTAGTCCCACGGCGCGGGAAAGCCACCATAGCCTCGAATATAATGCTGGCGTCTGCGAGATGGAGATCGCGTCGGAGTGGTGGCATTCTCTTGTTCAACAGGAGGGTTTATGCGCTGTCTCTGGCGAGCTGGTTGTATAGCTAGGTGATCCGAACCAGTGGAAGGACATCCATCAGCCTCAATATCACTGGCGATCCTCTGTGCGGCCTGTGAATGTTGGAGGAATTCTCTGATATATTTCCCGAAGAAGTAGCGACGCACAACGACGACGGAAGTGCTGACCAGGCTCAGATCTCCCATCAACATGTTCACCAATAAGACGGACTGTTGAAAACCATTCAACGAACCAAGGTTGACCGTGGTGAGACCGACACTGCACATGGCCGAGCAGCACAGGAACAAGGCGTCTATATACCTGAGCCGAAAGCCTGAGGTGTTAGAACCCCAGAGGATCGCCGACGAGACCAGAATGGCAACGACGAAGTAGGCAAGATGGAGTCGATAGAAATTAGGCCGAACCAAGGTCTTCAACCAGGAAAGCCTCGAGCGCTGCTGGGTCTGTTGGGTGTTGGTGGCGACCTTCCTCCTCGCCCTCACCCTCATTTCGCAAACGATATAGGCGGGGCCCGAAAGGCCCCTGAGATTTCATGCACCAACAGGCTCACATGCCGCAAGGGGAGATTTTTGGATGGCATTGACCTGCACAAGCTCATTCCGCGTTGATGGGGCGAAATAGACTTTGGAAAGCATTGCGGTTCTTCAGGCTCAGATCTCGATTGTCATTGGGCCTGAATGACATAATTGAGCCCATACTTACTGGGCGCGTTATCAGGCCTGGTTTTACAAAGTGTGAAGCGCCGTGATATACTCGACAAGTTGTTGTCCAAGTTAGGCGCGATCTGAGATGCGGTCAGGATTGTGAAAGGGCATCCTAGTCCCGGAGTCTTTTGCACAGAGAGTGAGAGTTATTCTTTGTGATCCGCGACGCGAAAACTTCGGCCCAGTTATTTTACCTCTCAGACGTTCGCTGTCTACTCCATGGCTTGTCCATGGATCCTTCCCAGCGTTGGGTGCTAAGGGCAACGACGTCGACAGACTTCAGCGCGAGCTTTGCCATGGAGTGTGAAAGCATGGCATTTGTCTCGCACTGTCTTGTTTCTAACCCTGAGTTCAATCCACCATCAGCACAATTTGGCCCTCAATGCTCGCCTACCTGGGCGCCGTCGAAGGCTACGGCCATCCCTTTTCGTTACCCAAACATCTCGAGAACCAGCCGACTCTCGCTCAGGGAAGATGGTATCTCACACAGGGCCGTGATCTCCCACATGTCTATTCCCGTCGAAACTTTCAATGGCTCATGACAAGTTCATGCTCATACAATCATTGCTCATCCCTCCCAAATGCAGGTCCAGTCGTGGACTCATTTTACTTGACTTCGTGTTCACGTACCACGTTCTGTTCTTTGTTCTCTTGTCCCTCACGGATCGTCTCTGGCGCCACAGCAGCATAAGGGTCCTCATCTGCTTCACCTTCTTTGCCTGCTTGGCCTTCCACATCTTCAGCCGGCCCAGCGGTAACAGCCTCGTCCATATCCACATCCACACCGGCCTTCTCCTTCTCCATAATCTCTGTCTCCGCTTCCGATTCGCTTTCGTCAACTCCGTCCGCGGACACCGTATCCTCATCGCCCTTGACCGTCCCCACCCGGCCACCACGAAACATTCCACCAAAGGGTGACCTCTTCCTCGCCACTTTAGGGCTTGGTTCTTGCACTTCAATGACAACGGGCCCAGTCTCCTTCTCGGCGTACTTCTCTATAAACGCCTCCTTCAGGGCTTCATAGAGGAAACTGTATTGCAATTCGTTCATCACCATCATCATACGCTGCTCGCGGAGCGTATTCACCGTTTCCCATATGAGATCTTCATCATCTTTTGGATCAGGCGTGCTTTCTTTTGGAGGTCCGCTTCTCCCCCAAGTGCTTGTGCCGTTGGAGTTTGTTGTCGGCGTATGCGTACCTGTTTGCGGAGGCGAACAGTCAACTAGTCGACCTGATTCGAGCTCTTGTAGGAGGAAGTCCAGTGCTATCCAAGTGCCTGTCCGGCCGACTCCGGCAGAACAGTGCACAATTCGGGGCGAATCGCCCGCCACGGTTCTGGACACCTTGGTCAGTTCGAGTAGAGCCTTCCGATCTTCTGCTTCTGGTTTGCCAAAATCTGGCCAACCATGGAACAGGTAATGGTAGATTGATTTGGATTCGCCATCGATCGTCAATCGAAGTTTTCGGACTTCACAACCGATCTTTGCCTCGTAATGTAAGGAAAGGAGAGAGACCGAGCCACATTGACCTTGCTCTTGGGCAGGAGCTTCTTGCCTTTGCTCTTCAGGACCTCCTGGGGGCTCGCTTTGAGGGTCTTCGGCATCTGTTCCAACACGATCAGTCTCAGCGCTTATCGCAGGGGAGTCCAGAAAGGGATCACCATCATCCACCGCCTCTGTCTCTCCATCATCATTCCCGTCTTCGTGAGCAGGGAGAATTATTGTCGGGTTATCCATGTCCGGAGGGAAGTACTGGGCGCATTTCTCCTTGTTCCCTTCATAGAGCTGTGTGAGCATGATAATGACTCCAACCTCGCCTGGTGTCTCTTGCATCACCATGTGCCAGAAGTGTGAGAATTGGCCTTCCTTTGGACCTTGAGTGGCGATGTATTTGCTTTCGATTGGCGTTATCGAGGGAAGTAGGGGCTGTCCAGTCGACGCTGGAGTTGAAGAGCCACTGCAGGGTCTTTTGGCGAGGCGACTCTTGAGGGTGATGGGAGACGCATTGACATAATCAGACCCTCCAATCGGTTTCTTCAGTTTGACTCTCGACGACTCCCAGGGCTGAACATTGCCATAGCGATTGCGACTGATGACGGCCAACGATCGATCGATCCGGAATGGAGACGTATGTGGATTCTGCGAAGCATGCTGAAGGCGGTATCTCTGCTTCCACTCCAGTTCCTGAAAAGCCGACGAGATCTCTATCGCGCGCCAGTCAGATACTTGGGCGACTCACATGCGCCAATGATTTTATGTCCATTGAGACTTACTGGCTCGGGTTTTGTTCAGATAGGCAGGTATCTTGACATTCATCTGCTTTGCTGAGTCATCAGGCTTGCCAACTAGACCATTAGATTGCCCTTGTCCCCTAGAAGCCGGTCGAGAGACGTTGACTGGCATCTCTTGAGAACGCTGCCTCTTGATGGATCCCTGCGGCGGGGTGCTCAGGGATAGAGATTGTGGCATGATGTTGGTGATCTCGGCGATGGCTGCTGCATCGGAGGAGTGAGATGAGCCAGCCCGACTCACCGAGGTTGAAGGAGGTGGCAGAGAAGAGGAGCTGGTAGGTCGGATGGTAAGGGTTGGAGTAGGCTTGTTTTTCTTCCCAGACGTGTGGATATGTAGTCTTTGCAAAATTGATGGGCGTTTGGGAGGGGGTTGGTTTGACGATTCCCCAGAGGAAGGATCCTGAGGAGCGGCACCGGCTTTGTCGGCGAACAGCCTTGAGACGGTCGTTGTGATAGTATGTGGCGATTTACGAAAGGAGCAACAAACGATTGAGGTTCTCCAGATACAAGGGAAGGCCAGCGCACGTTTGCTGTGCGGACAAAGAACGTTTGACGATGCTTGGCGAGAGCAGTGTTTGATGGTGGGTTGAGGTCGAGGCTGTCAACGCTGGGGCTGCCGGACCTTGCAACCGACGGTTGGGCCGCTCAATGGGTTTCCTTGGTTCAGTTCTTGGAGAGTCTTGGGCATCGAAGGTCAATGTCCGATTGCGGTCGTCTCTCTACCGGTTGACCTGCGAGCCTCCAGATACGGAATGAGCCTTTATCGGTTTCAGGAAGCGCCGGAGGGTTTCGAGGTCTAGGGGTCACGCAGATGCTGCGCCGGGGGGCAAGGAAAAGGAAGAGTGTTCTTTCAAGGTCCAAGGAGGCAGATGGTTGACAGCCTCGTTCCAATGGAGATGTTTTACGGATACTTTGATATGGGTTCTATGCTTAAGCGACAAGTACATTGTTCCAATCAAGAGGAAATCCAGAGAGAACAAAGAGGCTGAATGGCTGACCTCATATTGCAGAGGGCCTAGCTGCAACCAAGCTTTTGGAATGAATCCGCGTAAATTACAGGTAAATTACAGACACACTCTCTTTCATGTCACTGACATCTAGCCGAGTGGCGACAGTAATGTTGGTGTACAACTCTGTCATATTCCAACACCCCAAACCGCTGCAAGCTGTCACCGGGTGCGGAGATAATACTTCATCCATCCAGACTTGGCCAGAAGCATCATCAAAAAAGTCGAACACCATCACCCCTATCACCGGCCCGTATTACACCGGCCTGTCACACTTCGATCCTCCTGAGGACTCATCGTCTGGAGACACCTCTCCGCCATCCTTTCGTCCAAGTTGCGCGCCGCCTGCCGACCCGTTCTTGTGCCGCAATGTCCTGGTGGTGGCTTCTCGAGGTCTGCATGTTTTGCCGCTCATTCCGCCGCCAGGTGACCACCCACTGACACTTCACACAGAAGCGATTAGTAGAAATGGTAGCCCGTCCTTGTCACAGGCCAGAACCTGACTTACCCACGCTCATCGAAGCCATCTAACCAGACTCAACCATCCAGCTCCTTCGCAGCCCTTCCTTCCACCGTGGGGTCCAGCGAGTACACAAGAAAGTCCATGAACTCCAACACGGCAAACCGCCAGAATACTATGGCGGCACGCACCTCGATAGTACGTGTCCGGAAATCTCGTTCTGTTCCCTTTGGTGGCGTTCTTTCGTTGTGATTCCTGGACAGGACGAAGAACTACGCTCATATGTATGGCTTGTGAAACAGGCGACCAAGCCTCCGAGCGAGGCGTCGGGCACTTTCTCAAGCTATTCTGGGAGGAGCTGAAGACGGGTCACAAGCCTGAATCGCCAAAGAAATAAAGAAACGAAGAGCGGAAGATGGCACTGAAAAAACATTGTCTGCGAATTTTTGAACGTGGAAACGGTCAACGAACTTCTCGGTTTGGAACGGTTGTGAAGTCGAGCGAAGGCGTTGGAGGCGCATACACGGCTTGCTTTTGAGATTCATTTGCTCTGATGCGCTGGATACCCTCTGTTGAACAGGTTTGCGAATGCCTCCTTTGTGAGGTTCGTTGAGTAAAATCGCAAGAGAGATATAATATCAGGTATCAGTCCACATTTGCTCTTGCGTGATTACTCTCGACATTGGCACTGTCGTTCGGATCAAGGTAAGACATCTGTACAAGACACAGGCAGCGGTGTCGGCCGATACTCAAGAGCTCTAAATGCATTAAGAAAGCCGAGGACAGATGCTACATCATCGGATAAAGATTGGGTTGGCTCATTCTCTCTCTACATGGGGGCTCGACCCTCATTCCATCCGAAAAGCAGATTTCATGCCGGACAATTTATTCTGTGTTGCTTCTCCTTCCAAACTTCACAGAGCTCATAACGAGGAACGGCGAACATGGAAATGTCTTGAAGAGTTGACTATCGAGGTTTGCCATGGTGGGTCAGTCCGAGCGGACCTCTGCGGGGTGGTTAGAGGG